AGAGAGAGAGAGAGAGAGAGAGAGAGAGAGAGAGAGAGAGAGAGAGAGAGCACTAAGTTGCGTAGGCTATCCAGAACTTTTATAAGATAGACACTCACTATGTAGCCCTGACTGGCCTGGAACTTACTATGTAGATCAGGCTGGAACTCACAGAGATCCACCTGCCTCTGCCTCCCAGGTCTCCTGACTGCTAAGATCACAGACATGAGTTACCATGCCTAGCCATTGGGAATCATTGTCCGTATGTCTGGGTGTCTTGTGTGTCTCTGCTTTGTCTGGCGATCTGTTTGTCTATCTTTTGTGCCTTAATGTAGCTTTAGAAGCCTTGAAAGCAGGGAGTGTTCTTTTTCTTTTTTCTTCTTCTCCTATTTAAAAAGTCATTGTGTAACATGGTACTGGCATCTCCAAAATGATGGAAATTTCTATAGCAACTGGGGCTGCATTCCAATAGCCTCTCCTGGGCTCTCTTCATGGTGCCGAAACCTCAACTTCTCTCCATGACCCCTTCAACCTTGGGCCTTCAATGGCTACTCTGGCTGCACCTGCACCAATGGCTGCTCCTGGCCTCTCACAGTGCCACGCCCCAGCTGTTCTCCATCACCCCTGCATGCCTTCAAAACCAGTACCCTGGGAGAGTTTGATATATGACCATGTTCAGCTACCAGCACAAGGTACAACTTTGACTGCCTCTGAACAACAGCTTCTGTATGCTGACTCTCAGGAAACACTTCCCAGATTTCACCTCAGTGATGCTGGTCTTGTCTTAGTCACCAAAAATTTCTCAGCTCCAGCTGACCAGCATCAATTATCCCAGCAAAGTAAAGGTTTTCACTTTAGTGGTTCTGGTCTCTTGCTAATCACAGCTGATTCTTTAGCCCCAGCTGATCAGAACCACAGATTCTTATTTCAAAATATGCAATGGCTTTGATCAAGTCTTTTTTTCCCCCAACACAGAGTTTCCCTGTGTTGTTTTGGTGGCTGTCCTGGATCTCACGCTGTAGACCAGGCTGGCCTTGAACTCACAGAGATCCACCTAGCTCTGCCACCCGAGTGCTGGGATTAAAGGTGTGTGCCACCACTGCCCCGCGATCTAGTCTTTAGGGACCCTCAAACTTCCCTCTGGAACTTCAGAAGCCAGGCCTTCATTGTCTACATTTCTCCCAATACTATTTTCCAAGATCCCCTAGAACAGCTCACCAAGGTTAGAGCACTTGATGGCTTTTCTAGTCCAAAGTTCCAAAGTCCTTCCACAATCCCCACCCCCACCAAACGTGGTCAGGTCTGTCACAGCAATGACCCACTCCTGGTACCAATTTCTGTCTTAGTTAATGTTTCTGTTGCTGTGATGAAACACCATGACCAAAAGCAACTTGGAGAGGAAAGGGTTTATTCCACTCACAATTCCATTGCACTGTTCATCATGGAATGCAGGTAGGGCAGAAACTCAAGCTTGGCAGGAACCTGGTGGCAGTAGTTGACGCAGAGGCCATGGAGGAGAGCTGTTTACTGGCTCAGCCTGCTTTCCTACAGAACCCAGAACCATCAGTACAGGGGTGCTCATACTCACAATGGGCTGGGCCCTCCCCCATCAATCACTAACTAAGAAAACGCTCTACAGGCTTGCCCAGAGCCTGATCTTATGGAGGCATTTTCTCAACGAATGCTCCCTCCTCTCAGATGACCCCAGCTTGAGTCAAGTTGACATAAAACTAGCCAGCACACACATCCAGCAAGGAATATTACTTTTTGCCTCCTTAAAGCTAACTGAGTTTTAAATAGTTCATTGGTGCACAAGAATCCCTAAAACTGAGGAAATTTAAATTGAATCTAATCACATGAAAAACATGCAGAGAGAAAAGACATAAGGGCATTTTTCAAAATCATTCCCAAGAGGTAAACTGTCAGGGATGTGAGTGTATTTCTACTGTTTTCTACCATAAACTCCTTTGAAATTTCTAGAAGGTGCCATATGCATGTGTGCATGCGTGAGTGCATGAGTGTGTGTGTGTGTGTGTGTGTGTGTGTGTGTGTGTGTGTGTGTGAGCTACTGAAACCTGTGACAAGAGCTGGCCATGGCCTACTCCAAGGAGATAGAGCCTGAATTCAGGGTGATTTTCCTATTTTTCTTTTATGTTTGTGTTTTGTGAATTCTTAGTAATGGGTGAATATTGATTTTAAAATCAGAAAAAATAGGCATTTAAAATTTAGAATATTGCTGCAGTTTATACCCCACCCCACCCCCAAATGTCCAAGTGGAGAGAGAGGGCTTGGTGTCCGGTCTGCTGCAGAGTGTGAAGGTGGGGTGAAAGGGCAATCTTTAGGAGGGGGAGCCCAGTGGAAGGAAGTGACGTCACTGGGGTCTACCGCCTCCACCATTTCCTAACTCTCTGCTTCTTGGCTACTGTGGGGTGAACAGATTTCCTTCCCCCACATCCCACCATGATGCCCTGAGCTGCCATAGGCTCCAAGCAGCAGGGCCAAGTGATCCTGACGGAAACCTTTGAATCTTTGGGAATCTCATTAAATTAATTATGGAACCATTAGACGCGGGGGGTGGGGGTGGGGGGTGGGAGGTGGGTGGGGTGGGGTGGGTGGAGCTGACTCAGGCTGGCCCGTGAGTGTCAGTTTTCTTCCCAGCTCTGTGCTCAGTGCTGCTGTTAGCCTAGAACTGACAGTGAGGGCATTTACATCACAGGAATTGGCAAAGGCTACAAATCGTGATTTTTTTTTTCCCCTAGGGAGGTGGTTAATTTAGTATATTACCAGATATGCAATTTGAGTTATTCTTTAAAATTTTATTTATCTATTCATTTATTCATCCATCCATCCATTTATTTATTTATTTATTTTTATGTGCGGAGGACATGTCTGCATATGGGAATGTGACACAAGTCCAGGTGCCTGAGAAGTCCAGAGGCATCACATCTCTAGGGCTGGAGTTACACATAGTTGTGAGAAACCTGATATGGGTGCTGGGAACTGAATTTGGGTCCTCTGGAAGAGCAGTGGGGTTATCTCTTCAGCCCTCTAGTTACGTTTTACAAAATGTTTACAGAGTAAAAAGATCTGAAGGGAAATGTTCATGACCATTTTCTCTTGGCCAAGGGACTAGTGGTTACTGGGTTCTATTTTTCTAGCATATTCTGTCATGAGCTTATTGATATTATTATAATGAAAAGAGATAAATCAATTAACTTAGAATTTCTCTCTCTCTCTCTCTCTCTCTCTCTCTCTCTCTCTCTCTCTCTCTCTCCTCTCTCTCTCTCTTTGTGTGTGTGTAGGCACACATGCCACAGTGCACATGTAGAAGTCAGAGGACGACCGGTGGATGATGGTTCTCCCATTCTACTGTTTAGGACCCCAGGATCAAACTCAGGCCCTCAAGATTGGCAGAAGGCACCTATACCTGCTGACCCATCTCCCTGGACTAGAAAAAAATAAATTAAATGACAGTTCTGTTACTTTCTCCGTGGGCAGGGGGTGTTTTAGGTCAGAACGACAGCTCCATGTAGCCTTAGCAATTCAGTGGGGCCAAGGCCACGAAAATGTTCCATTGCCTGACCAACAGACAGGTCAGTAAAACAGACAGACAGAGGCGATGCTCAGCCATCTACAGTGTAGGGATGAGGGAGCCTGGGGTTCCAGCTCTGGGTTATGTGAATGGTTGGGCTGCCCCCCTCCCCTCCTAAGGAGTGTGGTGGCACCTGTGGGGGAGGGGAGGGAGCGCCACCTGAGCTGTGTGCACTGGTCCAGGGAGCCTCCACTCCTTGGTGTGGGTTAAGATCAGGACCCAGCCCAAAGTTAAACTGAGATCCTCAAGTGCGTGTGAGGAGACACTGATGCTAAGAAACACCGATTCCTGTAGCAAGAAAACCATATCTGCTGGTCCCAGCGTCTGTGTGCCCTGGGTTTCCCAGCAGCACCAGGGACAGGAGGTCATGATGGTGGGAGTAGCCACCATTTCCCAGAGTCTCCGGAGGATCATGTCCAGGTATTGTAAAGACATCCAGGGACTCCAAGCAAGGTCCATGTTTGATCTAGAAGAACATTGTCTACCAGGGGAACAACCTTTACAGCCTGAGAGCCACCCCACCCACAGTGAGGCTGTGAACCCAGACTCATGACGGACAGGGATGGCTTTGGGAAGACCTCATTGCTATCCTCGAAGACCTCATTCTTATCCTGGACGATTGTGACTTTTAGTCAACCAGGCACATTATCTACCACTAAGGAAAATGCTGGTCAAGTGATTTTGTCACTGGTGGGAATGAGAGCCAGGCATTCCACAAATAGTAGCCTTGTGCCCAGCCAACTCCAGTGCTGGACAACCCAGTGGGCGTTTGCTGACTGGCACCCAAAAAAAGGCATTGTGATTTCTTCTTAGAGGAAGAAGAAAATCCCAAAGCCAGCATGGAAAAGGCCATCAAGCATGGTCAATATCATGCTTTAAGTCATCCTAACACTGCATGGCCCAGGCCCAGGCCTTTCTTTATAAGACCCCACACAAGAATGAACTTTTGTTTTTCCAGCTGTGGCTCTTGCTGTGAGCAGTCTGTGAAAGTCAAGGTCAGATATGATAGGAATGTGTGTGTGTGTGTGTGTGTGTGTGTGTGTGTGTGTGTGTGTGTGCTCTCGTGTGAACAGGAAGAGGTGTTTTTTCTCTCCTTGTTCTGGTCATGAGTGAATTTTTAGGTGATTCTACAGGGCAACCAGATAATTAATAGAGAGATGGCTATGGTGTCTAGGGAGGGTTGGAGACTAAAACCCCAAGAAAAAATTTATCTCAAAAGTCCATTTCAACACAGATCCACAGCAGCCTCCTTAAACCTTTAAGAGTATAACCGCAAACTCTCCCTCTGCGTCTCAGTCTGTCTGTCTGTCTGTCTGTCTCTCTCTCTCTCACACACACACACACACACACCTACTCATAAGGTAAGAAGCTTCTAGAAGCAAGGACTCTAGCTCCCCCTGCTTCTCCCCCACCCCAACACAATAATCACTCTGTACCTCTACCTCAAAGTCTAGCTGGAAGCTAGAGATAAATGAAGTTTGTTAGGAGATCTCCATAGCAACACTTCCGACACAGAAGAGCCCAGAGGGTCTGGGACAACCACCTTACTACCAGAAGGAGGAGATGTTGGGCCTGGAAGGTACCATCGCCTCCCTTCAGCAGCCTGGAGTGGGACAGGAAGGGAGGATGTGTACAGGACAGGCCCTTGTCGTGTGTCCACATTTGCCACTGCTCTCTTTCTCCCTGCTGGGGCCCTGGCACACACCACCACCATTTCTCATGGGGGCACGGAGGAGCCTCCTCACTAGTCTCCCATGTCTTTCTGCTTTCGCTTATCGCCATTCATCATGTATCTTGAAGATAGCACTATCCAAAGAAGTCACACTGCATGCACTCCTCTGCTCCCAACCCTTGGAAGAGCCCTTTCTCAGCCAGTCCAGGCCTTGACGAAGGTGACAGGGCCATAGGCAATCTGGTCCTATGGCCTCTTTCCTCCTCCCTCACTCTGTTGTTGCCACACTGTCCTGCTGGTCCCAAGTCCCCCAGACACTGCAAGACCATGGCCTTTGCACTCCCTGTCCCTTCGGTGAAATGTTCTTTCCCCCAGATGGCCATGGGGTCTGTGTCCCCATGTCCAAGTGGGGCCTTTTATACATAGCAATCATGCTAACAAATTCTGCTAAGATGCCCTGGGGCAAACTGTCACGACCCTTTCTGCTTCACAGCATCCTTAAGAGGAACACACCATCCCTATCCCTATCCCCACCCGACACGATGAAGCCAATGCTCACCAAAAGTGGGGGTCACATCACTGGCATGCGGCGGTCCCACCACGAACCCTAGGTGCATATGACTTCAGGTTCCAAGTTCTGGCTGGGATGTAGTTCAATGACAGAGTGTTTGTCTAGCACACATTAGGGCTCCGAGAACTGAAAAATACAATAAGATAAATAAATAAACATAAATAAAAGAGAACCCAGAATTTTACTTTTTAATCTGCTGTGAGCCTTCCTGGGTTTGTAGTGCTAACGTGGGTCCTACCTCTTCCATGTGCCTGCCTCCCTGGCCAGGAGAGTCAGGGAGTCAGTGGCTGAAGCCCAGAGCATCAGTGTGTCTCTGTCAGTCCATTCCACCCCCCATGTCCCATGAGAGCTCTAGGTTCACTGCGACCCCATCACCTCGGCCCTGGGTAACTCTTCTGTCTTGATTTGTTTGCTCAAGATCAGTGGTTTTCAACCTGTGGCTCAAGACTCCCTCAGGAATCACATATCAGATATTTACATTATGGTTCCTAACAGTAGCAAAATTACAGTTTTGAAGCAGCAATAAAATAATTGGTCACCACAATATGAAGAAGTGTATTAAAGGGTCACAGCATTAGGTTGAGATCTGCTGTGAATCAAGATGGTGTCTCTCCAACTAGAAAGTGGCACCTGGGTTATGTTCCTTGAGGTACCCTGTGATAGCATCTGGTGGAGACAGTACTGAATGAATGAATGAATGATGAATGCCTCTCTCCACAGCTGAGAAATGACTTCAGTATATCCTTGCAAAGGGAAATGTAGTTTTATATCCAACAAGGTCCTTGGCTTTCTCAAAAAGGTTCTTTCTACCAATGGCTTTCACTACTGAACACCCAGCAAGCAGCCTCAGACCAGATCCTAGAAGTCACGAGCTGCCTGGTACACGTGGGGTGGAAATGAGAGTTCATTGCCACCTGGGCTTAACCTCTGACACACAAATCCCATGACTAGTGTGGCCTGGGCCTTTGGAATACAGAGCTGGGCTGGGCTAAAAATCTGATGAGCAAGATGTTTATCAGGAAAAGGGGCAGCGCAGAGGTGAGGTAGGGAACTGTTGGGGGGCACTCTGAGCTAGAGCAGGCACAGGGGAAGGACCTTGGAGTCCGTGACACATGAAGTTTGCTCTTTACCCTAAGAAAACAGGGAGCCGGGCAGGTTTTAGGCAGAGGCATGATGGCCTGGGTTCAGCTGCCAGTGTGGGGAGGTCAAATGGAACAGATGGAATTCTGCCTGCTGTACCAGGTTCAAGGAGCCAGGACCCCACTCCTCTGCTCCCCCAATCTCTGCTGTATAGCAGTGTCTCAGAGAGGAGGGATCTCGGTTGGGAGAATTCTTGAAGCATTCTGTGTGCTATTCATGCCTGCTTGAAGCACTGTGTGCTATTTTTAGCATCACAAAGTTAGGTGTGAGGGCACGAGTGTTTTATCCCAGCACCCAGGAGGTGGAGGCAGGATGACCAGAAGAGTTAGGTGGTCTTTGGCCACATAATAAGTTCAAGACCAGCCTGGGCTACATGAGACTTTGCCTCCAAGAAAACACAAACTACTGAAGGCACGTAAGATGACTATTAACTGCCTAATGAAATGGACCTTCTTCAGGTCCCACAGCTGCCCACCCAGGCTCTGGTCTAGCCTTCCCAGTCCCATGGTATCAGGTACAGGCAGAGCCACAGCAACCTAAATCATTCTGTTGTGTCCTCCCAGCCACACACTGAAGCCTGGGCCTATAACGGTTCCAAGGGTGCCAGACATGGCCCCGCTCTGCTCCAGTCCCCTGCCAAGTGTGCAGACAGATTATTTTGTAAATGAAGCCAAGGTGTTTCCGTGAGGCCACGGCTTGCTGGGGACCACTCAGGAAGCTGAGGAACACAACCCGACTGTCTGACCCTGTCTGAATCTGCAGGAGTGCACAAACCGGAAATGCAGACTGTGAGGTGTGCGTTGTGTTTCCAACCCCAGAGGGAGCCTCAGCCTCCTCACCTGGAACTCAGCCACCCCCAGCTCTGCTTCTAAGATTTCTCCACTGAGAGCAAGAACAGGTTATCAAGTCACTAGACCTCTGAAGAAATCCATCTTTGCTTGCTTGAGGTGTGTGATCCCCAGCACTCAAAGCAAATATTTTAAATCCCACCCCACTTTTTTTAGACAGGGTCTCTACAAAGCCCTGGCTGTTCTGGAACTCGCTATGTACACCAGGCCAGTCTGAAACTCACAGAGATCTGCCTGTCTCTGCCTCCCAAGTGTGGGGATTAAAGGCGTGCGCCACCACGCTTGGTATTTAATTTACTTTTGACTTGGCTAAGACCCTCTGTACTGTGCTTTTGTGTTCACGAGGCATTCCGACAGTATCATCAGCACCAGGAGGAATTATGATCCCTTTGTGTTATATAAGGAAATGTAGGTCCAAGGAGACACCCAAGGCGACTTGGAGAGGAAGCTGCAGGAGCAGGCTTTGCCAGGTTCCTAGGTTCACCGAGGGCATCTGTTAGGCCCAGGAGATTCATTAACCTATTCCCCAGACCTTTGGGAAGTGGGAAACTCAGGCTGGAAGAAGCATCTTCAATGAGGCATAGACCTTCAGAAGGTTTAGTACTGTTCTAACTATGAGCAAGGGTCCCTGGGTCCCTGCTTTCTCCACATCTGGGTAGTTGGGAACATTTCGGTGGTCTTGTCTGCCCAGCCTCCAGCTGATTCATCCTCTGGGGTGTACTCCGGAGGAAGGCTGTTCACTGCTGTGTCTTCAGAGCCTAAGCAGTGTACACACTGACACACGGTAGGTGGATAGATACATAGTGATGAATGGAGGCCTGGGAAGCCCCATGGGTTTGGTGTTCCTACTACTTCATGGCAGCAGTGGCCTCTGGATCAAACCTAGAGACTGAGCCAGGCTCTGCTTTTACTCCAGGCCACACCTGGGAAAGACAAGGACATCAAGGAGGCCAACTTTGAATCTAACCCTGGGTCAAACTCTGGAGCCAGCTCACTCTGGTTACCCTCTTTGCTCCAATCGCCTGGTCCTAGCCAAAGTCACCCCACTATTCCCAGCCTCCGTTTTCTCTGTAAATTCTGCTCCCAAGTCAGTAGCAGGAAATGTCCCCAGTTCTGTAAATACCCGCCGGGCGAGAAGCCACGCCCCGGCCACAGTAGGACGGCCCGGACCTTTCCCGGACTCAGGGGCTTCCCAGGCCTCTGGGAATTGAGTCTAGGGACATGGAGAGCGGAATCGGGAACCTGGGGCTCCCAGTATGCAGGGGCCGTCCAGTGACCCTGAGTGACCTTGGGCAAGTCCCTTTCTAACCTTCCAGCCCAGCTCCTTATCCTTAGGGGAGTGGTTTGGTGCCCTGGGCTGTGCTGGCCCGCGTACTCCAACAGGCATCAGTTTCCCCTCCTGCCGCCCCGCTCGAGTCCTAAATGCACTTCCGGGTCCGAAAGCGCAGCGGCCGCGGTCTGGGGGCGCTCCAGGCTCCCGGCCGGCTTACCTGGAGGTGGCAGCGGTCGAGGGGACGACGACTTGAATTCCGGCGGCCCGGCTGCTCCCGCCCCGGCGATCCCCGCCCGTCCTCGCCCAGGCCCAGCCGCCCCACACCGGCCTCGGCCGGTCCCGCCTGCGCAGCCCCAGAGACCCGACCTTCCGGGCTGGGCCGGGCGCACCGCCACCTAAGCCACCAAAAGCCGCCCGCCACCCAGGTGCTGGCCTCGGGGAGGGACCCGCAGATCTGCGCCCCAGGAAGCGAGAACGCGGGGCGCAGAAGGACTCTGCAGAAAGTGCTCGCCAGGGGCTCGGCTGGTAGGAGAGGGTTATGCGCAGACACTTAGAGGGAAGTTTCCAAACTCTGCCTCCACACATTGAAAGAGCCTGTCCCAGAAGCAGCCTCTCTCCTGCATACACTGCTCTGTGAAGTTTGCAACATTCGCGCCTCCTGATTCTTCTTTCACTTTCTCTAATGCTGGCTGCCCGTCTGTACACGCAGCTCTTACATCCCCCAGGCCTCCACTTTGGGACCCCATTCCTGTGAGACTTCCCTAACCACTCACTCAGCTTTAGCCATTTAACAAATATTTGTTGAGCACCTACTATGTGCCAGGTCCTGTTCCAAGGCCATGAATTGGCACACCAGGCATTCAGGCCCGTAATATTTTAATCAGAGTACTTAAAACTGTGAAGTTGATCGTTTTCCTGTTTGCCAAGTTACAATCTGTGTATCCCACACTCGCACTTAAAAGGCCCAGAAATGGAGTCTCCCGTGCCTCATTCGCTGCTCTGTGCCCAAGCCTCAGGGACGGTGCCCCCAGCACTTGGAAGATGGCTCTTGTTGCCCTGGTAACCTGTGGATTTTCATCACGCCTAGTCTTACAGGCGAGGGAGTAGGCGGCCATCCTGGTCAGGGTTGGAATATGAGTCACCATGATCTAAGCAATGAACTCTTAAGGCCGTTGCTCTTTCTCCTGGAAGGTAGGTTGGAGCTGGAAGTGGGAATAGTACAACGAGCCAGCAGGTCAGACACGCAGCATTCCAGCCCAGAGAGTCTGTGACCCCCGCTAGAATGTCATAAGCCTCCGTCACCTGATCTCCCTATCGGCCAATCAGGACCAAGAACAGCTAGCGGATTATTGTAGGTCAAAAGGATCAGTTATGGAGGGCAGAGGGGTTCCAGCTGAGATTCTGGGCATCACTAAGGGCAGGCAATAGCCACACGGAGGTGGCCTGTCCCACTCTCTCCCCCTCCCGCGCGCCCATAAAAACCGGAATTTAGAAAGATCCTATTGTTGGCTATGAGGAATTCAGGACAGAAGTGGCCAGAGGGTTCCAGACTGAAGTACTCAGCCTCGGCCTGAGCAACTAAGAGGTTCTCAGGCTTTCAGTTATGAGACAACTGCTGTTCCTATTTCAGCATAGGCTGATGTAGTACAGTCTTGATATAAATAAGTAAATAAATGTAATTCTAAAAGTTAAAAAAAATCAGGTTCCTTTGCTAATGGAGGAAGGAATAACAATAGATAAATGAAATCAATATGGAAAGCAATTTTAGAAAATAAGTTACACTCAGTACAAAGTGGTCCCCTAGTGGGTTTTGGGACAATAAAGGCATTAATTAGGAAACTGATCAATGGAGCCTCTGCTTTAGTCAATACCAATATCGATTTTTTAAAATCTTGACAAATGTATCAGTGTTAAGATTGGAAACCAGGGCAAAGGGCACACGGATTTTTGCTAAGTACCCGCTGCTGTCTCTGCAACTATCCTGTCAATCAAAAAACCCTTCTAACACAACATTTGCTAAATAACACAGAGATTGAGTCCTTCATGTAGTTAGCAGCTGCCCTGAGCTAAGCCCTGATTTGCCTTTGTTTAAACAGATTATCAGGCCTGATGGTGAAGGCCTGAAATCACAGCTACTTGTTGGAAGGACTTGCCAAGACTAAGGCAGAGGGATCACAGGCCCAAGGTCTTTCTGGGCTTTAGAGTGAGTTAAAGGTCATCCTAGATCATTTAGTGAGACCATGTCTCAAGAATAAGAAAGTGGGACAGAGGTTCCATCCCCCAGAATCCATAAAAAAGGATGGTTCTCTCCTGCCGGGTGACCTTTCAGAGTCGGAGGGCGTCACACCACCTTCTCCACAGAGACCTGAAGGAGATGGTGTTCTCCAGGTGCGATCTGAGAATGATTAACATGTGTTCATGGACTGGTTAAAAACGTGTTGTGTATCACCAGGATATGAGATGCAGGCATTAAAATAATGTATCAGACTAGGGACAAATGCCAGGGATTCTCTTTTCTTTACTGGAGGTTGGACCCAGGCTCTCAAAGCAGTGCTGTACCCTGAGGTGTACCCCACCTTCATTTTAGGTCAGAGGAGGGCATCAACATTCTGCTCTGTCTTTCTCCACCCTTTTCTTTTAAGGCAAGGTCTCTCGGTGAACCTCGAGCGACCCTCCCATTATCAAGGGGACAAACCAAGGCTCCCATACATTCCATAACTTCCTCCAACATGGGCCAGAGCCCAGCACTGAGCCCAGGGCCTCTCAGCTGGTTCCTTCCACTCACACTCGCCTGTCACACTGCCTCATTCCTCTGCCCTCTCCAGGACAGCACTGGCCTTGGCTGCACCCCTGTCCCCAAGCTTTGAAGTTCCAGAAGATGGGACCAGGTCAGCTTCAAAGGGCCAGAGGACTGTAGTGCTAGACTACCTTTGCCCAGAGACCCCAAAGATGCCTTGGTTGGGGGCCAGAAACGACAAGGAGCTTGTGGGTCTAGGTCACAAGCCAAGGCTCAGGACAGTAGTCATGTGATCACGAGGATGCACCTCAAGCCTGTACTC